CCCATTTTAAACAATAAAAAAATAAGCGAAAAGGATTAATTTTGTATTATATAACTTTAAACGAAGGAACAAAAAAATATTTAGATTAATCAATAAATGGAAAAGAAAGAAATACTGAAATAAATCGTTTTAAAACACCAAACAGGAAGTCTCCAAGAAGCACCAGTACTGGGTACTCTTCGCGATTTAAAAACGACAGTACCTTGGGGTTTCTTTCGTTCGTGCATTCTGAACCTATGAGTCCTCCATCTTAAACTCCTTATCTCAGAGGCCTCAGCAATTGGCTTTTCTCCCCTTGAGACTCCGGGCGTTGCTCAAAATCCTTTTTTTCAATTCTTCTCACGGACCTTTATGTGTCGGTCATTCGTCTGGGGCCTGAGATTAACCCAAATTTTAAGCCAATTTTGATTCCCCAATTTTGATCCCTCGAAAGATATAGGATTTCTCAGTTTGAGGACGTGTTGTCAGATAGATAGATAGATAGATAGATAGATTTGTAAAAAGTTGAGTTCAACAAAGAACAATAGAGCACAAACACTGAGGTTTGTTGTGATGCAGCACTACATTATGTTCGTTGACTTTAACGAAACGTTATAATAATTATGATCTCTTAGGCTTTTACTCGACTCAAATGTACTGTTGAGGCGATCAGACAGTGGAGGTAGAAGACGTTGAATGTTAAGATGTTCGCCTGTTAGACTGCACTGCTGTATGTCGCGAATATTGTTGAAAAGTTGACAGAAGGAACAATGAGGTTTATTTTGAAGACAACGTGGAAAAGGATTCGAAGATGATGTATCACTATTGTTTTGCACTTTAACTTTGATTTACTATTTGATTGGGGTTTTTTCTCGATTCGAATTATCTTAATGCAGATTGTCTCCTAATCACAAGGTAAGGCAAACAGGACTTTTCTAATTTACTCATTAAAAGCAAATTCATATGGATATTATTATGCAAATATTGATCTGGGATCCTGCTTTCTTGGAGACTTCCTGTTTGATGTTTTAAAACATTTTATTACATGGTTTCTATCTTATTCATTTATTTATTTTTCTATAAGTTTGTTCATTGACCCGTTTAAAATTATTTAATTCAACTTTTTAATACTTTTTACTTATTTGAGTTCAATAATTTTGTTTAAAATTCT